TCTCTCTCTCTCTCTCTCTCTCTCTTTCTCTCTCACTCTCTCTCTCTCTCTCTCTCTCTCTCAATCACTCTCACACTCGCACTCGCACTCGCACTCAGATATACAGATACATACATATACATACGATTTTTTCCTTTTTCATTGCAGATTGACATTTCCATTGAAATATAAATAATCAGTGTTTATCAAAATCACAATACCGTATTGGCTTTACTTTTAATAACTGTATTATATTTTATTTTCTACCAACAGACATCACGGGCTGGACCAAAAACCCTCGCTGCAGTCGAGTGACAAGACACAGATGATCGAAACTAAAAATGGGGGTAAGTAACTCCAATTTCTCTCTCTTGCTTGCCATTTCTATTTTATAAGTAACACTGTTTTTTTTTATAAGTATCTGCAGTGTCGGAACATCCTTGTACACATTGAATATTGTGTATTGGTGCAATCGTTCCTCTATTGTCTTCCGATCGGCAGAATTGCTATAACAGGAGCACACATATATGCAAATACAGTTCATGCATACATGCAAGCGCTTGCAGAATGATTGGTTATTTTATATGTTGTGCGTGTGTGTGTGTGTGTGTGTGCGTGTGTGTGTGTGTGTGTGTGTGTGTGTGTGTGAGAGAGAGAGAGAGAGAATGTGTGTTTTGAGAGTGGATGCAAACAGACAAATATCCAAGACCCGCATGCCAAGGTTGTAATATTTCGTATAACTTCGTATAATGTATGCTATACGAAGTTATTACGGAATGTGTGTGTTTTGAGAGTGGATGCAAACAGACAAATATCCAAGACCCGCATGCCAAGGTTGTAATATTTCGTATAACTTCGTATAATGTATGCTATACGAAGTTATTACGGAATGTGTGTGTTTTGAGAGTGGATGCAAACAGACAAATATCCAAGACCCGCATGCCAAGGTTGTAATATTAAGGATGACTTTTACAGAAAAGAAACCCCATATCAAGAAGCCTCTGAACGCCTTCATGCTGTACATGAAGGAAATGAGAGCTAAGGTAGTAGCCGAATGCACGCTGAAGGAGAGTGCCGCCATCAACCAGATTCTCGGACGCAAGGTGGGATGAGCATGTCTTTCCGTCTCTTTCTTAATTTGTTTTTTTATTACATACAAAGTTTACATTGGAATAGTTGTTTTATATGTATATATATTCTGTTTACTGTGGATAGATACTCTCCCAGTAATAGTGTTCGAGTGTGGTGGATGAATGACTTAAATGGGGCAGCTTGAGGACGCCTTTGTTCTCGAGGCGTATCAGTCGAGGTCTCCCTTGACGGAGAAGCTGATCCCGCTGTCTGTGTGTGACTGTCGTTGAGTGCGAGCGGGAGAGGGGCTATCCACTGCTGACGATAGCCGTTACTGACTGTTTATCGGACTTTAGTGGCATGCACTCAGCAAAGAGGAACAGTCCAAGTATTATGAAATGGCGCGGCGGGAGCGACAACTACACATGCAGATGTACCCTGGCTGGAATGCGCGAGATAACTATGGCATGATGAAAAAGAAGAAGAGAAAGAAAGAAAAGACTGGTGATGGAGGTACAAATCTTTTTATTTGTTGCCGCGTTAGAGAGGGGCATCGGTGCGCTTGCTGATGCACGGGCGTGGGCCACTACGGACGCGCTCGGCGGGGGCAAATTTCCAGATTTTCGTCCGAGAGAGAATGAAATCTGAAATTTTTGCTCGGCTCTGTAGTGCTGCCCTGTGACATCGGTCGATCGACTGTCATGCTCTTCTCTAGCGATTTTGAACCCTTTCGCAGTGTCGGGGTATCACTAATCTTCATTTAACTTTCCCTGCAGTGGCATGCGCTAAGCCGCGAAGAACAGGCGAAGTACTATGAAATGGCGCGCAAAGAGCGCCAGCTTCATATGCAGATGTACCCAGGGTGGTCTTCCCGCCAAAATTACTCGCAGGGGAAAAAGAAGAAGCGTAACCGTGACAAAACCCAAGATGGAGGTAGCTAACTGCCGCACAGAATCTTTCCTCTTAAGCAACTTAAAGACAGTTCCGGTGTGGTGTGTGGTGGTCGGGGGGCACCGTGGCCAGACCTCAGGCGAACACGTACTGCTCCTGGCAGGCCCCGAGCAGGAGGGTGTTCCGGCTGAGGGATGGGCACGGGCCTTCCTAAAGTCACCCACTTGTCCGGTTTTTAAGGTTCCAGTTTACTTATTAGCTTCACTCTTAACTTATTCATTATTATCAACTTCTACTTGAATGTTATTATATGTTTGCTTTTGTCTTTTTTGCTGCCTGTTTGCATATTCACCCATATTTCTCTTTTCTTAATAAATGGACGTTGCTTAATTGGATTGTTGCCGAATGTTTCTGCTAGTTTTCATTATTACAATTACCCATTATATTTTCCATATCATCTTACTAGGCTGAATGTATACTTGCTCATCTTGAGTCTCCCCTCAGTCACGAGCAAGGATCTCGTGAATCTCCACTGTTATTTTCAGTAGCATCTTTGAGCAGGCAGGTTAATGCCATCATTTGCCATCATTTGGTTTTGTCACTGTCATACTGCTTCAATGCATTGCCACTGGGGGAGTCAGATGAAGATGTTATGAAAATAACACTGCAGATGAACATGACAATAAAGTCAGGATCTGCTTTGTCCCTGAATCATGTTGCTCTCAATGCATGAGTTTTTTATACTCTTTAAGATTTATATTATCTATTGCCTTATTAGCATGCATTCAGTTTATTACTGTCAGTGGAAACAAGGTACTCTCATGCCTCTAAAATTGTAGTATGCAATTTGTAACAACTTCATATGTGATGTATAAATCCTGTGGTCTAGCTCTGTCTAATCGTGACATTCCTCCTCAGCCAATATGAAGAAGTGCCGTGCAAGATATGGGCTGGAGCAGCAGAGCCAGTGGTGTAAACCATGCAGGTGAGACTTTAACCTCCAAATGGATTTATGTCCACTAACATATTCTCACCTTGGTTTCTGTGGCTTGTTTGTTAGTCTTGGAACTACTCCTGCTAACAACTTGGCTCTAGTGCCTTGGTTTTGCATTAATATTTTTTTCATGTACACTACTGCACTACTGGTTTTGTCAGCTAGAAACAATTCAAAATTGAAAGAAAACTCCCATTTCCTTTATAAAATATTAAAAGACATACTGTTTTTTCTTTTTTATTTTTGAGCCAATTTTAAATCACGATAGTTAATATACACCTTTAGTTTTTTTTTCAAAATTTTACCCCAGAATTTCCAAAACCGACATCATCATTCCCCATTCAAATCACTTTTTTTGTTCTTACTTGTATATCCTTTCCCTTTCCCACCCTTTCTTTTAACCTTTCTTTCCCTATAACTTTAATTATGCTTTTTTTCTCTCTCTTGTCATCACTCTTACCCTCCTCTTCCTCAGCCTCTTTGTCTTTCTCTTCTTCATCCCCCTCCCCTCCCTCTCCCTTTCCTCCCCTCCCTCCCCTCCCTCTCCCTATCCTTCTCCTCCTCCCCTCCTCTCCTCTCCTCTCCCTCTCCCTCTCCCTTTCCTTCTCCTCCTCCCCTCCCTCCCCCCTCCTCCTCCTCCTCCTCCTCCTCCTCCTCCTCCTCTCTCCTCCTCTCCTCCCATTCCCTCTCCCTCTTTCCTCTCCCTCTTCCTCTTCCTCTACTCTTCCTCTTCTTCCTCCTTCTCCTCCTTTCCTCCTCCTCCTCCTCCCATTCCCTCTCCCTTTCTCTCCCTCCTCCTCCCCCTCCCCTCCCCTCTCCTCTCCTCTCTTCTCCTCTCCTCTCCTCCTCCCTCCTCTCCTCTCCTCTCCTCTCCTCTCCTCTCCTCTCCTCTCCTCTCCTCTCCTCTCCTCTCCTCTCCTCTCCTCTTCTCCTTCCTCTTCCTCTCCTCCTCCTCCTCCTCCTCCTCTACTCTTCCTCCCCTCCCCTCCCCCTCCCCTCCCCTCCTCCTCCTCCCTCCCTTTCCTCCTCTTCCTCTCCTCCTCCTCCCTCCCTTTCCTCCTCCTCCTCCCTTTCCTCCTCCTCCTCCTCCTCCTCCTCTCCCTTCCCTCTCCTCTCCCTTTCCTCTCCCTCCTCCCTCCTCCTCCTCCTCTCCTCCTCCTCCTCCTCCTCCTCCTCTACTCTTCCTCTTCTTCCTCCTTCTCCTCTTTTCCTCTTCCTCCTCCTCTTCCTCTTCCTCCTTCTTCACCTCTTCCTCACCTTTTCCTCCTCCTCCTCTTCCTCCCCCTCTTCATCCTCTCCTCCTCCTTTTCCTCATCCTTCAACTCCTCCCCCTCTCTTGCCAACTCCCCCTCCCTCTCCTCCTCCTCCTCTTCCTCTTCCTCCTTTTCCTTTTCTTCCTCTCCTGCCTTATTTTCCTCTCCTTACCTTTTTCAGTGATTTTAACTTCTTTGTACTAACATAAGGTCTAGATCTGTAAGAAATATAAAGACTTGATAAAACCCATACAAAATGCTTTCTGTTGGGCTTTACTAACATCTGTACTGGAGATCATTACCAGCTGTTGTTTCTGTATATACTAAACGCTATGGGTCATGTAGAAGGATATATTTGATGGTGAAGGTGTCTGCCAGTAGGATAAATTTTGCAAAGTCTAACCGTTTATACATTGTGAGGAATAGCCATGTATTTACTGTGATATAGTGAGGGATAATCCAACATTATCTGGTATGGTTGTATTCATGTGTTGACCATGTTAAACTAATAGTGTCTGTGAGTTCAGTGTATTTATATAAATGCATTTTTTTAAAGTAATGCCTTTTGTAGTTGTTTTAAGTTTTAAGTTACTCCTTTGTTTTTTGTTTTGTTTTTCTGTAATTGGTTTTCTTTTTTAATATTTTTTTGTGTGAAAGATTGTATAATCTAACTGCAGTTTTTTTGTTTACTGTTTTCTCATTACATATGTAATTTTCATCAAGGTTATGTTTCTAAATTTCTGTTTTTCTTGGTGTTTTAAGTACATTAACCTGACATGAAAATTTTTCTGAATATCTTGTAACTTATAAAATTTTATACTTGAGAAGTAATTCAGTGAGGAAAATTCATAACAAAATCATGCATTTTATATTAGTTTTGATTGTAACAGTAATTTAATGTATTTCCATTAAAACTATTTAAGATTTTGGACTGATGTTATTTAAGAGAAATTTTATATGTTAGGAATGTACTTATATTATTTATTGCCTGTTATATTTTTATTTTTGAATAACTTGTTATTTGTTTTTTAAGTTTTACTCTTTTGTTTAGATTGCGTTGTGTCAGACATGTGTTCTTATGTGTATTTTCTTTAAGTTGATGTTAAATAATTATTTCTCTAATTATGTTAATAATGTCTTATTTTTTATGATTTTTACTTGCTGTAATCATACAGCTGCATGAAATTTTTTGTATCATCTTATTACCCAAGAGTGTAACAGCATGAGGATTCCCTGGCATGTAGTTTCTTTCTTAGTATACTCCTTACCAGAACAGACTTCAGCTTCTCAACAGTATTGCTCATTTCAGTGATTCGTTGAGGTCATTTACATGGTCATTTGGGTCTGGGGGAGTTGGTAAACAAGGAGAATTCCTGTCCAGTATCATCACATGCTTATAAATCAAACCAGAGAACATGTTGGCTTAGCGGTTAGCATTATAGGCAACTTATGCCTGATAATATTCCGTTTCTATTTGAGATTGTACACAACTGCTTAACAGGCTTTTGGATATTGGCTTAAATGGCTTACATGTTGAAGATATATATGCATGAATTTTATTATGTTTTTTGTATCTAACACATACAATAAGAATAGCTGTAGTTGAGTGTATGAGTGGGGACTTATCATCCAATGTGAACTAACCTTTTGTGCTTAGGAAATTTAGCCAGAAGTATTATATTTGGTTATTCTTTTATGTAATTTCAATACTGCTCAGTCAAGTTTTGTTTGCAAAGTGAGCCTTATTGAAATCTGCAATCAATAATACTGTTCATATCTGTTCTGTTTTATATATCTTGGATGATAAGTCACATGGAGTGAAAGGGACCCTGGCAAAAGGTCTCACTGTTCCATCTTGTGTGCCATTAGATGTTTTTGCCTTAAATTTGTGGTTAGTGCAGATGTGGGTGCGAGCATGGTGGTACAGGAGACTCAGTGTGGTTCTAGATCCCACCCTTGGTCCTCTGTAGATCCACCTGTGCTCGCATGCCATCACTCTGTCCCGCCCGTTGCGTCCACTCTCTGAAACTCATGTTCTTCAACAGCATCAGAAAATGTGTCTTCCCTCATCTAAACCTTAAATTCATAGTCCCCAGAATATATGGTGAGAACTTTTGCTTGAGTGCCCAAGACCAAAGTTAGTCTGACTGAAGGGGCAAATGTGCCACTATTAACATCTCTGTGCACCCAGCATGTGTACAGCTGCGGGAATAATGAGGCATGGCTAACCCTTGAACTGACACATTTTCTGATCACTGGTCCAGGGTTCAATGGCAGTCAGGTGGCGTGAGGCTCTGAGCCAGGGCGGTGTGTATGGTGACGGTGGCGCCCCTTAGTCTCTAACCTTGGTCTCTCTCCGGGCCCGCAGCCCTGCGGTGTCGCTAGCATCGGGGCGGGCCTCCCTGGGGTCCCCGCCTCCCTGTTAGGAGCTGCTGGTGCATCTGGGGGCGTTGCTGCAGCAGCAGCAGCTGCTGCTGCAGCCACCTCAGGAGCGGTCATTGTTTCGCTAACTCAGGGCGCTGGGCCAGCAACTTTGACCTCTCTAGCACCAACTGCAGCCTCCCAGGTAGGCACGGGGGCCCTAGCTACAGCCCTGCACCGGGTACCCCCATACACTCCATCGTTAACTTAAGTACCAGCACGAGCAGCAGCAGCACAACCAACAACAGCAACAGCAACAACAACAACAACGGCAGCAGCAGTGGTGTCTCTTCTCCTTCTGAACCTACCTATGTTAATCTCTAGTCTGTGAGTCCTTCACTGTGCTGTGAGCTGCTGTGAGGGATCTTGAACACAAGGAAAGGATCCACCTTTCATCAATGTAGTGTTTTTTAGTCATTTATTCAATATCCATCACAAGCAGTGTGATCACGTGAGTGTCTGTAGTGATTCATCTTGTTTTATTTTACAGGTTTTGTTTTGTTTGTATTATCCAGTGTTCCGCATGTTTATGTGTACAGAGGTAACACAATTTCCATTAATTATCTCTTTTTCTTTCTTTTACTAATATACTAACCAAAGTCATTAAATAGTCCTGGTAACGTTTCAGCCACACTTATTTTCATTTTTAGTTTTTGATGCATGGTACATTTTATTTTATGTTTTTGTTTTTTACAGGATGTGGGCAGTAGCTGCATGAGTAGAAGTTTTATTATGTTCATATCAAGCATGATCTTTTAATTTTCATTTTTTAATTACATTATTGCCTATCATTAGAAGTACATTATCATTTGGTGTTTTTTTCAGGCGAAAGAAGAAATGTATTCGATACATGGAAGGAGAGGAAGGTGAAGACATGGCGCCTGGGTCAGCAGACAGCGTAGATGCCTCGCAAGAGAGCGAAGAGGAGGATGATTTGCAAGACATGTCATCTCCCTCAACAGCACTGATGGGTGACCACACCGCCACCTCCCTGCATCCTCAAGTCTGATGCCCTCGCCTGGGCCTTCTTTGGCATCACCGTCAGGGCCACCTTCATTGCTCATCCATCGCCAGCTTCCCTGGCCTCCCCTTTAACGCCAGGAGAAGCTCCTCAGCTACAGATGAACCAGGTGCCCCAGGGTCCTCACCCTCACAGGCCCCCTGTGGGCACCAATCCTCGTGACATCAATAATCCTCTTAGTGTGAACCAGTTGACTGGCCAGTGTGCTAGCAACAAACCTGAGGCTGGGTCTCAAGACTCCTCACACCCAGCTATGGTGAGCGTCACATGACCCACTGCAACCCTAGATACCCACGCCCACATGCTGTGCTGGACATGCCCACCCTCTTATAAACACCACACTTTTGTAAAGGAGAAAGTGCTATAATGAAGAATCAGGAATTCATGCCAGTGTATTTTGGCTGATACATTGGTTGTTTTTCATTGATCAGGACTAAATTTGGGCTCTAGGTTGGGCCTGTGCCAGTACAGTCACCAATACCTCAGTGTCAAAAGTGTGGCTGAAGACAAAGACTTGTGGCCCCTGTTTGGCACCATCCCTGTAAATAATTGTTCCTTCACATCATGATCAACCCTTCATTGTATCACACACACAGCAGTGTTAGGTACTCTACTCTAAAGCTGCAGAGCCAGCCGTTCACTTCGTTCTATTCTGCAACATGGAAAAAAGTGTAAAACAAACAATATTTGTGGTGAAATCCTGGAATATATGCTGGTAAATTTGATAATTAAATGTGTCAGGATGACCATACCTATGTATAAGCCTAGACTTAGCCAGTGTTGCAGGCTAAGTATGGAGACAGTCTTGCTTTTCTAAACTGTGAAGTGTTTAGGGAGTTGACAGAGACACTGTGCAGCCTCAGGCTAATCAGTGTTCACCTTACATAGGGTCTATTTGAAAAATCAAGCAGTGAAAAGCTGGATTGTGTTAATCATTGTGAAATCCAAGAAAGCTGGAAAAAAATATAAAAAAGACAAGAGGGTCAGTTTCATGAAGAGTTATTTATTGGCAAACAAGTTATAGCTGCAAACCGGTGAGGGAACCCTGCACATCACCTTATACTATAAGCCACTATATGAAACGATCAGAGCTGCTGCTTCAGTGGATCAGGGATTGATGTGTTTAACATAAATCTGAAATGGTTGTAAATACTTGAGAAAATTTTACCAAAAATAAACTTGCTCTCTAACGCCATAGTTCTTATCATCCGTGGGAGCATTTGTTGTACAGCTATTAAAATGGCTAACCAATTAATACATGAAGCTTTGGACTGGTTTCAGAAGTACACAGTACTTTACAGACCACATATTCTTTTGTAAGTTCAGAATGTTTTTTGTTCTTTTTTTTTTAACATCCTTAAACTTTTGTTGAGATTTTAAAAATTAATATATCACTATTTATAACCATGAAAACCCCAGACAGACAGATGGAAAGTCAATCTTCTTGCCTACTCATGTTTTGTGGATAATAAACCACAGAATGTTAGATATTCTAATTAACTGAAAAAAAATATGGCAGGCTTGTGTTTACTGTGATATGTGTAGTTTAGGAATTGTTCTATGAGTGAAAATTTAAACTGACATTTCAGATTGTTTAAAAAAAAACATTGACATTTTTAAGGCGCTTTTTAGCTTCCTTTGACTCCAATATTGATTTCAATATTATGGAAGGTGTTATAAGGAATAAATGTTGTTGGATATTAAGCTATTTCTTTGTAACTGATACAAAGTACTTATAAATTTGTTGATAATAATTCAAGAAAACACCATTAATGATTATGTTAATTTGTGTAGTTTTCTTCTAAGTAAATCATCTAACTCTGAAATAATTAAGTTTATAATTATCACATCATGTTTTGTTATTGTGAATAAAAGGTGATGAGTAGGAAAAATACTTACAAAGACCGAGCATTTCTCTCACTCTTTTTGTGCTGATCTGTCGTCCCAAGGGTTCCTTTGTCATGGGAATTTTAACATTTTACTGTTTTCTTGATGCAAAGAATTGGTTATAAAAAAAGAAAAGTCAGTCAGAAGGAATGATCAAGAACATTTCTTTTATACTTTCTGATCTTTCTTTATTACTTGTATCACATATCTTGCGACATTTTAAGAATTGTGGCTTTAGCAGCTGCTACAGTAGAGCACCAGAGATGTATTATTCAGATAAAATAATGGGACACCTGTGGCAATGATGTTTATAATTTCTCAGTACAGTGGCTGTAAAAACAACAGCTAGTTACAGAATTGCCAAACAGAATCATCACATGTACCTGTGTGATGTTTTGGCAGCTCGGTAGAACTGAGCAGCTCCTGTGATTTTATGCTTTGTGTAGGTTCACTTATATATGTCCAGTTTTTGTGTAGTATTGTTTTGAATTTTTGGCTTGTGATCACCCAAGTATAAGTAAAGAAAAAAATATTAATAATAAAGTTAATACCCACTTTAGAAAATTTGTTATGTGATAAAGTGTACAAGCCAACAAGGTATGAAGCTTACATTACTGATTATATTTTTTTATTTTTTACAAGCATAATTAGTCAGGGTTATGTTAATTTATATACTTCTTTTGGCCAAAAATATCAAAGAATATGAGCACAGTGTTTGGCTGGCTACATTATATCTTCACGTTCAACTTTAAAGACGTCTTTCCACCCCTGTGATCTAATTTTTCAAGGGGGATTTGATCTAATAAATGTAACTGATCCGGAAAAAGTACTGTTTGTCAAATGAAACCTTTCATGAGAAAGGAAGTTTTTCTTTCTTTCTTTCTTTCTTTCATGGGATTTATTGGGTTTTAAGTTGAGGGTCTTGGGAACTTAATTTCTGGGAACCAGTGGTTATTATTTAAATTACTGACATATGTCAGTGACCTGAAAAGAAGTGTCTCATTTTGTGAACAACTCAGTTCTAGGTGAGTTACCCGAGGAGGGCATTAAATGTTGAAATATCCTTGACTTTGGTGGTCCACAGGCCATTAGGTAAAACTGCAAGTTTCAGCTGGTCTCCTAGAGATCACAACTGATTTTGTATATTGTGAGTTGGTTGTATGTGTGGGACCTGTAAGCTTTTGCAACTTTACTTTTTATTGTAATTATTTTTATTTAAATTTCACAATTGTAATATTGTTAAAATTTTGCTACTGTCAGCCACAAAACTGCCATGGCAGTGTTGCACATTCAGAGACCAGTGTTATCACTCTAGATTTATTTGATAGACTTGAACCCAGAGCAGGCACAAAAATACTTACAGCAGCACCCCCTGAGGTGGCCACACTGCCTGGTACGTGGTTCACATATCCTAAGCTCAGGACGCTCACCACACCATCTGGGAATAACTCACAGCAGCTTCCATCGACCCACACCCTTCCAAGATGCAATCCAAATACCCTCCCAAAAGTAAAACTTATCCTACTCAAAGTCTTAATCTCAGATACCATGATACATTTCATAATTAACATATTACTCTCTAATTTAAGTAAAACCAATTTGTCATGGTGTTCACTCTCTGAATGTTTCCCACACTAACTTCTGTAACTGACTTATCGTATCTCCAACTTCATGCATATGGAAATTTTCACCTTGACCTAACATGGTATACCTAACACAGATTTGCAGTACTAGATCTCATTTTGTAGTGCTTACCCACAGGCATCAATAACAACATGGTTTGTTCTTTTCACACAGTACACATTAATCAAGCATCTTATAAGAAATTTAATAAGAAAACCAGTAACAGCAAACATCCTAGATGATCATCCTGAGAGCTGGCATTCACACCATATTGTCTGTAATAATCTGTCAAGGTTTACGATATTATAGTTTGGATTTCCTTGAAAACATAATATTCCACAATGGTGAAAATGCGGGTGGGTTAGGATACACTAACTGTGAGCTAGTCTCCTGAAAGCACCTGAAAAGAGCTTGCAACAGATATCAAGAATATATTCATTTTAGCATTTCACAGTCCTAGGTAAAATGGTCAGTTTTGTGTGATGTTATGTTAAGTTAATGTAATATATGATTGAATGTTATTATTTGGTTTTCACTGTTTCAATCTAGAAGGCTTTGTATCTTTTTCCATCATGCAGTCAGTGTAGCTTGAATGTGATTTGTTCTTCACTGTGCCAATCTACCTGTGGCCCCAGCTGGTTAAAACTGGTCCCAGGTTCTTTTTGTAAATATGGTATTATATTTAGCTAGCATTCTATTCCAAGAGAATTGTAATTGCAAGACAATCATCGTTCACATTTCAGCTCGTCTTGACTTAGAGAGCCTGAATCATTTTTATGTTGTATTTTTGTAAACCCTACTTCAGTTCATGTATGGACAGACCATCTTGTAAGAGGCATTGTCACAGTTTGTTAAAAACAAAAATGCGATGTACAGAAAACAGTCGTTTAGAGAATTGTTCATGTAAATAGCATGTAGTGAATAAATCAGTTTCATAAGAGCAGATATTTTATGAATTACCACTAGAAGCTGACAATTCTGTAGCTTATCAAACCAGAAGGAGCTGGATTATTAGTTTTTAAAACCAGAAAGGTATTTCATGATGAAGCCACAGTACTGTCAGAAGTATCTTCATAAGAAATTGATCACCTGTTACTTTTATGGTTATTATCAGTGAAACTTCCTTTTATCTACAGTAGAAATTTATAAACTTGTATCTCACAAAATCCAAAATAGAGATTATGAATAAAATAAGACATAAGAGAAATTAAATATATAATACAGTGATAATAACAATACAATTTCAGAGAATGAAGTAACAATAATGTTTAAAGTCAGAAATTATAATCCTAATATATGAATAAACTTCAAAGAGAGATCAAACAAAGAATATAAAAAGAATTCTGGAATAATACACAATGCATTTTTATTTGGATCTGTATTACTGGTGGAGTGGTGTCTGTCAACGACACAAAAGAAAATGATAATATTTTGCTTGTAATAAGAGAGGCAGAAAATTATACAGCAACTGAAAAAGGACAACTGTATAAACAACATTATCGATGTATTACTTGAATCATTATAG